ACTTTATAAAGTCAGGCAACACTAACCAGGCTTCGTGTGATTCTGTTTATTTGTACCTTACTTTGACCATCCGTTCGCTGTTATTGATCATTGTGGAGAGCAGGCAGACGTTTTGTTTTGTGTTATAGCAGCTATCGGATGGAATCAATACATGGGCAGCACAGGTTGCCATGTCCGACTATCACAAGTAGAATCATAATGAAAAATACGCCGGTAAAATGTGCCTGTAGAAAACGCCCGTCTTTCTCCGTATGCCGTTTGGACTTAAGAATGCAGCTCAGTCCATTCAGCGGCTGATGGATTCGGCGCTCAGAGACATGCCATTCATCTTCGTTTATTTAGATGACATCCTCGTCGCCAGCTCCTCTGAAGAAGAGCACCAGGCACATCTCCGAGACCTTTTTACGAGGCTCAACCAACACGGCCTGATTATCAACCCGGCGAAGTGTCAGCTCGGGTTGTCCTCCATCCACTTCCTGGGACATCTCATCAACAAAGATGGAGCCGTCCCCCTCTCGTCGAAAGTGGAGGCCGTGTCCGCCGTTCCCCGACCGCCCACAGCTCGGGCGCTCCGAGAGATCCTCGGGATGGTGACGTTTTATCACCGGTTCATCCGCCGGGCTGCCCACACCATGCGCCCGCTGTACGAGGCCCTCAAAGACAAGTCCCCCGGCCAGGCCATAGACTGGACGGCCGAAAGGGAGAACGCTTTCGACGCCACCATGTTGGCTCACCCGTCACACAAGGCCCCCATCGCTACCACCACCGACGCGTCTGACTACGCTGTGGGCGCGGTGCATGAACAATGGGTCGACGGCACCTGGCAACCGCTCGCCTTTTTCAGTCGCCAGTTAACCCCCAGGGAGCGCAAGTACAGTGCGTTCGACAGGGAACTCCTTGGCCTCTGGTTGGCGATTCACCACTTCCGTTTCCTGCTGGAAGGCCGTGAGTTCGCCCGCCAGCAACGCCAGTTCTCATACATATCCGAGTACACCACGGACATCCAGCACATCGCTGGTAAGGCTAACGTGGTCGCGGACTGCCTCTCCAGAGCGGTCATCGGAGCCGTGCAGCTGGGCCTCGATTACCTCCGCATGAGCCCGGACCAGGCCTCTGACCACAGGGTCCAGACCCTCAAGGCCTCGGTCACGGGATTACGCCTGGAGGAGGTCACGGTCGGCGACTCGGGCGCAAAGCTGTGGTGTGACTCAGAATCAGAATACCTTTATTAGTCCCACAGAGGGGAAATTTGCATCATTACAGCAGGAAAGAGCCACAGACAGCTTAATGTTACATATGTTAAAAAAAAAGGTTATGATATAAGTAAAAAAAAATGTACATACTTTTCAAAATACAAATCCTGTAACAGTTCTTAGGATTTAGCAGCCAGGTATATATTACACAGTTATTAATGGCATATGTATATAATGTATATATTGCACATATAGCACATATAGCACATATTGCACATAGTTTGATGGTATTTAACAGCAGCAAGTTACACAATTTACAAAATGCAAAAAACACACCTTGTAACGGTTCTAAGGATTAGCAGCCAGGTATAAATTACACAGTTATTAACAGCATATATATATTGCACATATAGCACATATTGCACATAGTTGATTGGTATTTAGCAGCAAGGGGTGATATAGTCTGTGTTGTGGTGTGTGTAGGGGAGGGGGGGGTCTACTAGGGGCTGTGCTGGTTGTATAGTCTGACCGCTGCAGGAAGGAAGGACTTGCGGTATCTCTCCGTGAGACAGCGGGGGTGCAGCAGCCTGTCGCTGAAGGAGCTGCACAGTGAGGACAGGGTGTCCTGGAGGGGGTGGGACATATTGTCCAGCAGGGAGGAAAGCTTGGCTGCCATTCTCCTGTCTCCCACCACCTCCACAGTGTCCAGAGGACTCCCCAGGACAGAGCTGGCCTTCCTTACCAGTCTGTTTAGTCTCTTCCTGTCAGCAGCCGAGATGCTGCTGCCCCAGCAGGCCACACCATAGAAAATGGCTGATGCCACAACAGAGTCGTAAAAAGTCTGAAGGAGTGCCCCCTGCACCCCGAAAGACCTCAGTCTCCTCAGCAGAAAGAGTCTGCTCTGTCCCTTCTTGTACAGAGCAGCAGAATTATCAGTCCATTCCAGTTTATTGTTCAGATGAACACCCAGGTATTTGTAAGATTTCACAATCTCAATGTCCGCTCCCTGGAGGTTCACTGGTGTCGGCGGGGAGTGTTGGCGCCGTCTGAAGTCCACCACCAGTTCCTTGGTCTTCGCTGCGTTGAGCTGGAGGTGGTTCCTCTGGCACCAGAAGGTGAAGTCCTGCGTCAGCTCCCTGTACTCCCTGTCGTCCTCGTTGGAGATGAGGCCAACGATGGCGGAGTCGTCAGAGAACTTCTGCAGGTGACAGGTTGCAGTGTTGTGGGTGAAGTCTGCAGTGTAGAGGGTGAAGAGAAACGGTGCCAGCACCGTCCCCTGGGGGACCCCCGTACTGCTGATGATGGTGTCTGATTGACACTCCCTGGTCCTCACGTACTGTGGGCGGTTGGTGAGGCAGTCCAGGATACAGGAGGTGAGCTGGTGATCCACCCCCGAGAGCTGCAGCTTGTCCCCCAGGAGCGGGGGCTGGATGGTGTTGAAGGCACTGGAGAAATCAAAGAACATGATCCTCACAGTGCCCCCCACCCCCCAGGCTTCTCCAGGTGGGAGAGGGACCTCTGCAGCAGGTAGATGGGCGTCATCCACCTCGATGGCAGGCTGGTAGGCGAACTGCAGCGGGTCCATTGATGGTCCTACAAGGGGCCGGAGGTGTCCAAGGACCAGCCTCTCCAGGGTCTTCATCAGCTGTGATGTCAGCGCCACTGGCCGGTAGCTGTTGAATTCCTTGGGGTGAGGGGTCTTTGGCACAGGTACCACACAGGACGTCTTCCACAGTTGTATCACCCCCAGGCTAGCGTTTTCACCGATCCATGAAGGTGGCCCTGCGTGCCGGCTTGACTGATGGCAGCTGGGTATATAAGCTCCCGTTGGTTATGCTCGGCCTCGTTGACGGAGCTCGTGTATGGCCAGACGCTACGAGTCCCCGGGGAATTAATTCCGGCCGCCACTATGCCCAGCGCTCCTCCCTGCTGGAGACCGCCGGGACATTCACACCCATCCCCACGTCGTAGCACAGCAACCCAGCTTTCCGGGTGTCCCCCGGACTACGGTCGGCGGATTTTGTCTTCATTCGGCACGACGCCCAAAGCGCCCCCCCTGGGGCCCCCTTACGACGGGCCGTTCAAGGTCATACAACACGGGGACAAGAGCCTGGTGGTGGACGTTGGTGGCAGACCTGAGACCGTGTCCGTCGATAGGATTAAGCCTGTCGGGGCCGTCCTGCCATGCCCCGCCCCCCGCCCCCTGTGGGGATGCCCTCGCCCTCATTGGCACCCTTGTCCTCGCCTGCGGCCCCGCCCTCCTCGGCCCCTGTGGTCCTTACGCGCTGTGGTCAGGTGGTCCTTCCTCCCCGACGCAAGGATTTTGACTATGGGTGAATTCTGGGGGGGCTTGTGTGGTGGGTTTACATAATTCACCCACGGAACTATGGGTGGGGGTATTGCTCCGCACGGACATTTGAGTTAACAGGACTTCCTGTTTTAGCTGGTTAGTTTTCCCGGGCTTGTGTTTGTTTACATGCTGTTTTCATGTGGAATAAACGACTAGCTTTGTCCTTTGACACACCGCCTCCGACTCACGTCTCTCGGCACTACAAGGGAACGATTGTTGTTCAACTAAAAACCGAGACTATATTACCAATATGCACAAAAACATAACAAAGTGTCATTTATGAGAATATTACAGAATCTTTGTAGGATGTCATGGAAGATAAAATACTATAAAGTATCAAATCAGCTCGACATAAACCCGTAATCCCATGGGTGTCACAGAAAAGTAGGCTAAACTGCCAGATGAATATTGGTGCAACATTTTGATTGGACTGTAACTTAAATACCAATTCAATTCAATAAATAAACTAAGACCTGACTGAGAGAGCCTTCACTTATAGTATTGGCTTATAATGCAGTTTATTTGTATGCATAGGGGGTATGGGAAATATACATAGGCATAGAAATGTAGTTTTTTTTGGGGGGGGGGCAGTGTCACATGACCAACTAGCCAATACATTGTCTGTGTGAGGCAGAGACGCCCCCTAAAGTCCATAGGGGTTTGAGGACAGTTCAAGTTGAATTTAAGCAAGATATTAAAGGTGCTTCCTCATGTCAAATCAATCCCTTCATCATGTAATAAATAATAATAATAATAAATAGCGCTGTACAGCGATGTGTACGGGTCAAAGTATGTCTGTGAAGGGTCATCGCCTTAGACACCTGGAGAAAGTGCACACATCTATCAGTGATTGATTCAACTCTATTCACAATGGTCAAAGGAATTTAACCTGAATTCCTACAAGCAGTGGTGAAAGACAGAGTTTTTATTTAACAGGACATATTAGGCTCATGTTCAGGTTCATATCAGTATGTATTGTCTCTACTGTGACATGTCTCCATGCTTTAATGTTCAAAAAGCTCTTTATTTTTCTCATACTGCCTGTGCTGCAGCACCTCTTTCCCCCCTCTGTCTGAAACCAGAGCCCAGTCTGCTTTGTTGTGATTGGTCAACTGCTTACAGATGTCCCGCCCCTTAGTCTATCACGTACGTTTCATGTGTTGAAAAAAATACATGTGTGTAGGTTTATAAGGAGAGAAATAGATAATTCTACTTTTGTTGTTTGCTTTTCTGTTATGAAGTTGAATAATACACGGTTTAAACGTTAGCACTTTGGCCACTAAAGTGACCAACAACAAAAGAGCCTAAAATTAAACTATGTTATATCCCAGCACAGATCTGATATACAAGTATCCAACTATCAGACTTTTTATCTTTTACCTTGCTTGCTTGTGTGTCAAAGTATCGGGGGAGTGGATATGTTATCAGCTGTTTTACACGATCTGGGCAAAGTGCATCCTGCATGTTGTGCATTTTCACAAACGGCTGATCTGCATCCATTCAAATGAACTCTGGAATAGACTCTAATAAAGGTAATTTTTTACATTTCACGCTCAGCAGTTTTGGTCAATAATGTTGTTCCTAGTATAATTTAGAGTTGGTGAGAGTCCAGGTGTTCTGCAGTAGTCCACAAGTTTGGCTTATATGTTTGTATATGTGATCAAATTGACACTGTCTAGTTTAGCCTGTCAGCTTGTTCCTGAGTAAGTTACCTGTGAGTTTTTAAGCGTATGACCTATACCTTAAAGAAGATTAAAAAGTGCTCATTACTGAAGCAATCTGATCTCTATCTTAAAAAAGACTATCATAAATGTCTCAGATAAAGCCATTTTTGTTACATCTACAGGCGTAAAGTTCATGATGTATAGACCCATGACCTTTACTGAATGAAAGCACAGTTTTAAATGTCTTTAACAAATTGATGGTATGTATGGCCTCCTGGTTGCAGGGATGACGAAAGGAAAGACTAAGTGGAAGGCATTTTTAGAGGTCGTAAGTACTCTGCAATGGGTATCATCCTTTCTCTTCTTAGGTAAGATCCCACCACTTTGTATAAAATGACACTGGATGTTAATTCACAAGGGCCTCAATGCATTTGTAAAGCACCTCTGTATTCACACTGCTAATCTATGAATGTCTTGTACCTCCAACATGTGGACGATGCCTCTCCAGGAGTGGCCTGCACCCTCTTGATGTTTTACCTCATGTTCACCTCTCTGTGGCCGATCCCCACGCTGTACTTCGTCTGGCTGGTGGTGGACTGGCACACCCCTGAGAGAGGTAAAGGAAATAAAACCATTCAACACCCACGGACATGAAAGTTTAGTTTAGTTTATTTGTTTATAGTGTCGTGGACAGTCTCCATTTATCAACTGTTACAAACAACAGTAAATGGGGCAGCTTTAGCCGACATTGCTCATTTCCAGATGATAATAGACTTAAAATCACAATACATCAACAGCATTAGTTATACAGAAAGGATGAAAGACAAGTAGATAGAGGCGAAAGGATAAAAGAGAACAATAAAATGCAAACAACACACGTTAGTATACTATAGCACATCACATCACATAACAGAAACGAGGGGTCCATGATAAAGGTTCAAGGTTCAAGGTTCAAGGTTCTTTATTGTCAATCTGACATAGCTACAGAGTAATTATGTAGTTGAAAATCTTATGTCACAGGCTTCTCCAACAATGCAACATAATAACATAATAACAATAAGAGCAAGAGCAATACAAAAAGAAAAATAGTTATAAAATAAAATAAAGTGATGATGTGGAATAGTGCAGTACGAGTCTATATACAAGTTATTGGAATGATATATATATATTAGGTATTAGATACATACTACTGAGTAGCAGATGAATGTTTGAAGTTGTTTCAACAGTTCAATTTTTTAACAGTCTCACTGCCCGCGGGAAGAAACTGTCTCCGAATCTTCTTGTCCTTGCCAGGATGCTGCGGTAACGTCTGCCAGACGGCAACAGAAAGAACAGTTTGTGGCTGGGGTGATGGGGGTCTTTGATAATCCGTAGTGATTTCTTCCTGAGCCGCTGGGAGTAAAGGTCCTCCATGGATGGCAGCTCCGTCCTGGTGATGTGCTGTGCAGTTTTCACCACCCTCTGTAAAGCCTTACGATCGAGGTCGGTGCAGCTGCCGTACCAGGCCGTCATGCTGCCAGTCAGGATACTCTCTATCGTGCACCTGTAGAAGTTGCAGAGTATCCTGGAATCCATTTTGAACCTCCTCAACCTGCGGAGGAAGAAGAGCCGCTGTCGAGCTTTCTTGGTGATGGTGGTGGTGTGAAGAGACCATGTCAGGTCCTCAGTGATGTGGACCCCAAGGAACCTGAAGCTTTTGACTCTCTCCACCGTAGTCCCATTGATGGCGATGGGGGCGTGTCCCTCTCCCTGCTGCTTCCTGTAATCCACAATCAGCTCCTTGGTTTTGCTGATGTTGAGATGGAGGTTGTTATCCTGGCACCAAGATGTCAGGTTTTCGACCTCCTCTCTGTACGCCGTCTCGTCATCGTCTGTGATCTGGCCGATGACGGTCGTGTCATCAGCAAACTTCACGATGGTGTTGGAGCTGTGTGTGGCCACGCAGTCGTGGGTGAACAGGGAGTAGAGGAGAGGGCTGAGCACGCAGCCTTGAGGGGCACCGGTGTTTAGAATCAGGGTGGAGGATGTGATGTTTCCCACCCGCACTGCCTGGGGTCTGCCCGTCAGGAAGTTCAGGATCCAGTCACAGAGGGCGCTGTTGAGCCCGAGGTCTCTGAGCTTGATGGCCAGCTTGGAGAGCACAATGGTATTGAATGCTGAACTGTAGTCAATGAACAGCATTCTCACATATGTGTTCCTGTTCTTCGGGTCCAGGTGTGAGAGGGCAGTGTGGAGGGTGAGGGCTATGGCGTCGTCTGTGGACCTGTTTGCTCTGTAGGCAAACTGCAGGGGGTCCAGAGATTCAGGGAGGGAGGAGGTGATGAATGATTTGACTAACCGCTCAAAGCACTTCATTATGGTGGAGGTGAGTGCTACTGGGCGGTAGTCGTTGGGGCAGGTGATGATTGTCTTTTTCGGGACAGGAACGATAGTGGAATGTTTGAAGCATGTGGGGACTACAGACTGCAGCAGGGACCTGTTGAAGATGTCTGTGAACACCTCTGCCAGCTGAACTGCACACACCCTGAGAACACGGCCAGGGATGCCATCAGGTCCAGGAGCCTTGTGTGGGTTAACCCTTTTAAAGGATTTACACACATCTGCCCTATTTAAAACAAAAGGGCACGGCTCTTGGTCCCTCTGTACCTCCACAGCCCGGCTGCTCTCAAAGCGTGCAAAAAAACTGTTCAGCTCATCTGGGAGAGATGCGCACGCAGACACTCCCGCAGCACCCGCCCACATATTCCTAGTGTTACAGCCTTTGAAGTCAGATTCCACCTTCTCTTTGTACTGTCTCTTTGCATTTTTAATTGCTCTCCGGAGATCATACCTAGACTTCCTGTACTCCTCCAAATCACCAGCTCTGTGCGCGATAGTGCGCGCTTTCAGCTTGCAGCGCACATCGGAGTTTATCCAGGGCTTTTGATTTGGGAATGTCCGTACAGAAACCTTCGGTACCACGTCATCGATGCATTTCCCAATGTAGCAGATGACAGTGTCCGTGTGTGTGTTGATGTTATTGTCCTCAAACACACTCCAATCCGTAGATGCAAAGCAATCCTGCAGTGCTGCATCTGACTCCTCGCTCCATCGTTGTACTGTCCTTGTTATCGGTCTGTCCCTTTTAAGTTTCTGCTTGTACGCAGGCAACAACAGTAGTGAGATATGGTCTGATTTGCCAAAGGGGAATAAACATGGTCCAGTATGTTTGCCCCGCGCGTCGGGCAGCTGATGTGTTGGTAATATTTTGGCAAAACCTTCTTCATGTTGGCGGTGTTGAAATCTCCGGCCACAACGAACGCCGCATCTGGCCGTGAAGTCTCGGTCTTATCAATAATCCCAAACAGCTGATCGAGTGCCATGTTGTTGTCGGCGAGTGGCTGCAGGGGGACATACACTGCTGTTATCACAACAGATGTGAATTCCCTCGGCAGATGGAAGGCCCTGCATGAGATCATGAGGTGCTCTAGATGTGCGGAACAGTCCGATGAAATAATCTTCACATCTGAGCACCAGTTGTTGTTAGTCATTACACACACACCGCCTCCCTTACTTTTCCCCGAGTTAGCAGTCCGGTCCTGACGAAAAATAGAGAATCCATCAGGGACAATGGCGGAGTCCGGGATAGCGGGGTTGAGCCAAGTCTCAGTGAGAATAGATAGATAGATAGATAGATCGTACTTTATTGATCCCAAATTGGGAAATTGTTTTTGTTACAGCAGCATAAAAGGCATTTTACAATAAAACAAAATATACAAGAATAGAAATAAAATAAAATAAAATATAAAATAAAATATAAAATATACATGTCAAAATACAAAATAGAAAATATACATACAGATATTATATATATATACAAATATATATATATTCAAAATATATGGAATTATGGAGTATTAAATATGAAACAGATTATGTGTGAGTAAAATGTACAAGGTGGTTTTATTTCTAGAGAAACTATGGAGCAGAGAGTTCTCTTCCAGCCAGAGGTGATTTGTTGTACAGTGTTATTGCAGTGGGCAGGAATGTTTTCCAGTATCTGTCCTTGAGACAGGGGAGCTGCAGCAGTCTGTTGGAGAAGGAGCTCCGTTGACTGTCCAGCTGCAGGTGGAGAGGATGGGTGGGGTTATCCATGATGGACAACAGCCTGTTCAGTGTCCTCCTCTCCACCACAGCTTCAAAGGGTTCCAGCTTGATGCCGATGACTGACCCAGCTTTCCTGATCAGTTTATTGATCCTGCAGGTGTCACCGGCTCTGATGCTGCCCCCCCAGCAGACCGCAGCAAAGAAGAGTGCACTAGCCACAACAGACTGATAGAAGATCTCCAGCATCTTGCTGCATACGTTGAAGGATCTCAGCTTCCTCAGAAAATAGAGTCTGCTCATCCCCTTCTTGTACACAGCGTCAGTGTTGATCCTCCAGTTCAGCCCATTGTCTAAGTGCACTCCCAGGTACTTGTAGACCTCCACAACTGCCACATCCTCTCCCAGAATGCACAGGGGCAGAGGAGGAGAATTAACACGTTACAGTTCTTAATGTCCCGTTGAAAAGCAATCCGGCTTCTGAGTTCATCTAGCTTATTTTCAATGGATTGAACATTAGCCAGAAGAATACTCGGAAGAGGGGGCCGATTCTCTCGTTTCCTCAGTCTGACCAGCAGCCCGGCCCGGCATTCGGGCTTTGTCTTCTTCTTGCGTCTCTCAGGTAGAACAGCAACAGGTAGCCATGGTGAATCTCCATTGTCTGTCGGAGGGTTATTTTTGTCCACGAAGTTTCGCAATTGAAGAAGTTCTCTGCTATATTAAAGTACCCTCTTTGTTAGCTGTTCCTCAATATCATACTTCAACAAGGATATTGTATATAAAGGAGTGACAAAATAAAGCGGTAATAATAATAATACTATCGTAATATTGCTGTTTGATTGTATAATTGTATTGTATAATACATATATTGTTTACAGTTAGTGTGTAGTATTGAAATGACACACTCTGTCCACCAGGGGGCATGAAAACAACATTTGTGAGGAACTGGAGGGTCTGGGATCACCTCAGGGACTTTTTCCCAATCAAAGTAAGTTTGTATTTCACCGCTCTGTCAGATTTTCTGTTCCCATCTGATTTGATGAATCCATGTGTCATTAGTAGCATTACTATTTCCAAACAAAAGCATCCATGACCTTAAAATTAACTTGCAATTATCTGCTTTGATTCTTTATATATTACACTATATTTCACAAGTGCAATTAACCATAAAGACAAATAAGAAAGAAAATAAGCTATCTATTGTAAGTGCTGGAGCATTAGTCTCAAATGTAAGTGCTATTTATGGTGATAAAATATCTTTTAGATAAGAAAAAAATTCTTTGTATTGAGCATGTGCTTTTAAAATCTCTAATTCAATGTCAGGGTATACAGTTAAGGTTGTGTTTGGTTTAAAGGTCCCATATTACATTCTTTTTTATCAATATATCACAGGTCTCAGATATATACAAAACATGTCTCTGAAGTGTTTGGCTTGAAACACCAAACAGATCATTGCAGCATCCCATAATCCCCTCTGTTTCAGCCCTGTTTCAAAAGAGCTGATTCTCTGTCTGTTACTTTAGATGAAAATAAGGAGCCACTCCCCACGCCCCTCTGAGAGATATTTGGTTAAAAAGAACACAAGAGGCGCTTTCACACCAAGTACTTTGCCGTATTTAGTGCCGGCACTCAGTGCCCCGGCACTTATTACCCATCGCGTTCACACCGGAGTACTTTTCCCTGAGGGAAATGTATGCAAATGAGCCGCTGACGTCACTTCGTCTTCTTCTGCTTTGGGTTTACTGGCAGGCCGCAAACAACTTCACGGCGTATACTGCCACCCGGAGTCCCCGGCCGGAAGTCCCCGGAGTTGGGGACTGGCTTCAGTAGAAGCTGCTGGGACTCCCAGCAGCTTCTACTGAAGCCTTCCGAGTAAATCGCGAGAACGCCGACACCTCCTCATCTCCACCGCTCCCATGTTTTATTTTGTGTTGCCATAAGTTAGTCTCTCTGCGTTTGTGCACTGGGCGAATGCTAATGCTAATAATGCTAATGCCAGGATAATAAAATGGTGGCTCTACAAAACATTTCAGAGTTGTACGGGGCGTGGTATGCAATTCGCCCAGCCAATCAGAACTGGGGCACTTTTTTCCCCCAGGAAAGTACCATCTCTCAGCAGGCACTAAAAATGGGGGTAAAAGTTCCCGAGATTAAGTGCTCTTTTTGGTGTGAACGCGACATAAGGGGTACTAACGGAACTAAACGCGAAAAGTACGGTGAAAAGTACTCCGGTGTGAACGCGGCTAATGGTGGTCTAGGAGGAGATTCAGGTGATAAGGTGGGGGGGGGGGGTTACCTTGGTTGGTGATTGGCTAATGGTCACACAAGCCAAAAAATCGTCATGACATCGTAAAGTGGCCAAAATCTGATCAGCTCATTTTCAGACAGGTTTTTATATAAATGGATCAGGACAAAAAGAAGTCTCTGTTCATCCTAACTTTTCTTTCTCAGTTGGTGAAGACAGCCGAGCTGAGTCCAAACAAGAACTATATTCTTGGTATTCACCCGCACGGCATCATGTGTGTCGGGGCGTTCACCTGCTTTAGCACCGAGAGCTGCGGCTTCAAGGAGCTGTTTCCTGGGCTGATATCCAACCTGGTGACGCTGGCCGGCGTTTTTAAGCTTCCACTCTTCAGGGAATATGCCATGTCTACAGGTATTTATGTTCAACTAAAGGAGGTTTTTGAGACTGCAGTGCCAGTGGCGGTTCTAGACCAATTGTACTGGGGGGGGGGGGGGGGGTTACAATTATTAACCCCCCAGTTATTTCATGAGAGGGGGCACAATAAAAGCGGGTTAAAAGACAAAGACAGTATAAAGTAATTTTGTAAAATGAACATAAAATACAGTAATTGCCATTTGTTTTTGTAAAGGTATTTGTTTTGGTCATTTTAAGTGACAATTGAATTAAAAAACTTAAACAGTATTTGCTTTTATAAGGTAATGAAAAGGTTAATCTCCACTGTACATCCTGGTCTCTGATTTGATTTAGTTCCCAATAAATCGTAATATTGTAACCTTTTTTTTGGAGGGGGGCCACAGGGGGGCGTCCCTGGTCAGTGTTACGGGGGCACTGGCCCCTGTTGGCCCCCCTCCTAGAACCGCCCCTGGACTGCACACGGAAAGGAAGAACATCCATAGTTATTACTGTCTTACTTTGTGTGATCAGGTCTTCTTCCAGTCAGCAAGAAGAGCCTCACGCACCTCCTCACCAACAGAGGGAAGGGGAACGCAGTGGTGATCGTGATCGGAGGTGCTGCGGAGTCGCTGGCCTCGGCTCCTGGAGTCAACATCTTGGTGATGAGGCAGAGGAAGGGCTTCGTCAGGGTGGCCCTGGAGTTTGGGTGAGAGAAAACACACATTAAAGGTTCCCTATTAAACGTTTTTTCATCAATATATTATAGGTCTCAGATATATACTAAACATGTCTCTGAAGTGTTTGGCTCCAAACACCAAACAGATCATTGCAGCATCCCATAATCCCCTCTGTTTCAGCCCTGTTTCAAAAGTGCTGATTCTCTGTCTGTTACTTTAGATGAAAATTAGGAGCCACTCCCCACGCCCCTCTGAGAGATATTTGGTTAAAAAAAACACAAGGGTGCTCTAGGAGGAGATTCAGGTGATAAGGTGGGGGGGGGGGGGGGGTTACCTTGGTTGGTGATTGGCTAATGGTTACACAAGCCAAAAAATCGTTAAGACATCATAAAGTGGCCAAAATCTGATCAGCTCATTTTCAGACAGGTTTTTATATAAATGGATCAGGACAAAAAGTGAGAGAATCTTTTTTCCTGAAACGTTCAGTCTCTTTACACAGAGGGGACACATGTTTATGTATAAAAGACATGAAAACGTGAATTTTGCATTATAGGTGACCTTTAATACCAGCACTGGTGAATCTGAAACAATTTACTACACCGCCAACGACTGAAACTAGGTCGACAGCTACCTAACTTAAAATGGCGGCAGCACTTATAAATGTTTTCTGTTACTGTCCAAGTCTGTTCTCATTTTCACTCATTAACCAGTCCTTAAACATGAAGAGCCCATACCGTGTTCCCGTTGGTGTTTACTTCCTGTCCATCTTCTTCTGTTGATATATCTGACGTCCAGTACTCTGTATTTTTGTTTTTATTTTATTTACTGGGAACAGTTTAGCCATAGACTCTTGTTTTGGAGGGGGGGGGGGGTCAAAGCTTGCTGCAACAATAGCCGCGTTCACACCGCAGTACTTGTCCCACTTTAGTTCCGATATAGTTTCGAAATGTCGCGTTCACACCAAAAAGAGCCGGAACTAAAATGAGTTCATCAGAACCTTTTTTACCCCCTTTTCAGTCCCTGCTAGAGAGCAGGTACTTTTGTGGGAGAAAAAGGTTCCTATGTCTGATTGGCTGGGCGAATTGCAAACCACGCCCCGTAAAACTCCCAAAAAGTTTTGTGAAGCCGCCATTTTATTATCCTCGCATTAGCATTATTAGCATTAGCATTAGCCCAGCGCAGAAACGCAGAGAGACTAACTTATGGCAACACAAAAGAAAACATGGGAGCGGTGGAGATGAGGAGGTGTCGGCGTTCTGGCGATTTACTCGGAAGGCTTCAGTAGAAGCTGCTGGGAGTCCCAGCAGCTTCTACTGAAGCCAGTCCCCAACTCCGGGGACTTCCGGCCGGGGACTTCGGGTGGCAGTATACGCCGTGAAGTTGTTTGCGGCCTGCCAGTAAACCCAAAGCAGAAGAAGTGACGTCAGCGGCTTCATTTGCCTAATCCTTCCCCAGGAACTTATTCCGGTGTGAACGCGATCTGTACTTAGTTCATGAGAACTAAAGAGTTCTCATGAACTAAGTTCTCATGAACCTTTGTGGGAAAAGTACTGCGGTGTGAATGCGCCTATACAAGCTCAGTGTGTATTGGCCCCCTCTACAACCGCCCATGAATAGTTGTCAATATCATTTTTCTCACAGTTTGACAGTAATGTGACCTCTGATGATCTTCCACAGGGCTGATCTGGTGCCAGTTTACGCATTTGGGGAAAACAATCTCTTTAAGCAGGTGGTTCTCTCAGAAGGCAGCCTGGGGCGGAGGTTACAGGAACTGTTTAAAAAGATCATGGGTTTCGCCCCGTGTCTATTCGTTGGAGAGTACATTGGTATCCTGCCCTACAGGAATCCCATCACTACTGTTGGTGAGTGTTTCATCTTTCTGTTCATAAACATGGTGGTAGTTTTTTTGTATTCTAACACTCTGGCTTCTTTCAGTGGGAAGTCCAATCTCAGTGCCGAAGCACATCAACGCCACCGAGGAGGAGGTGGACCACTTTCATAAACTTTACATGGAGGCCCTCTCCAAGTTATTCCATGAACACAAGGTCAGCTGTGGACTCTCTGAAAGTCACGAGCTCCGGATCCTCTAGACCAGTGGTTCTCAACTGGTGGGTCGCGACCCCGTTTCGAGTGGGTCGCAGATGTGTGAGTGAAGAAAATAAATATATATTATTAATTTTTTCGGAAAAAAGTAAAACTTTTATTTTGAAGGTCCGATTTTCTAACGCTGTGCATGCAGTAGGCGTTGGACTGGAAGTACCAGAGACCATAAACGGGTTTGAAAACTTCTGTCCAGTAGTGATCATCTTCTCAATGAAACATCTTTGCTCATATTTTTTCGAGTCTTCTGGCCAATCAATCAGAATCAAGATTGTTGCCGGAAGTCCCCACGGAGAATAACTTTGCGGTAGAACCAGTGGCGGCGCCAGGGTATGGCTGGGGTAGGCTACAGCCATACCAAGAAATGGCTTAGCCCCACCTTAGCCCTACCATGAAAAGTGATGCAAATTCAATTAAATAATAAGCGAAATGCTAAATGTTGAGAACACGGATTGCGAAAATATACGGGTCGTGTCCACAGCACACAAACTGATCCTGCTGTAACAACAAGTGCACGTTACTGATGCAATATGGTTGAGACCATTCGGGCTTATGCTATAAGAGGGGTGCAAGGAATAGTCTAAGTAGTGGGGGAGTTTTATACACTAAAGGTGTGGAAATTCTCTGGCGTTATAATATCAGCGCGGTCAGATCAAAATGCCTCCGAATGCAATTTGAATAGACCTACAGCCAATCAGAGCAACGCAACGTTGGATCTGCGTCATGCCTTATTGATTGAGATCAATCGAAACCGCCATTCAGTATCCCCATTGGATCTTCAACGTGTACTATCATACGTCACGTTCACAGTGATCCCTTTTTATTTAAGACAAATGTGCCGTTTTATTTCATACAGTTCCATTTTGATTGAGACAGGGAAATAATCTAAACCTCACGCGTGGCGTTTCACTGTCAAGGGGGGCGATATAGCGTGTATGTAATTACATTGCAAATACTGACTTGAGCACCACCACTGTATGGGTTAGCCCTACCATAGATTACCCAACAAAAATGCTCTGGCGCCGCCACTGGGTAGAACTATTCTTTATACATCCATGGGTACAACTTCAGATAGAAATGAACACGTAATGAAATATGAGTATGACCCCCGGTTTGATGATTGACAGGTCACAGAACAATGGGAGCTATCTACCCTTATCCACAATTTAAAGTGGACCTATCATGCTATATTTGAATAATATAGTGTAGGACCATACCTATATAAGGCATATTTATATATATTTTTTTTCAAAATACCAAACAGATCATGCATTTTAGCCATGCCTCATTTTGCTCAATTTGACATTTTTCAGCTCTGTGTTTGTAAGGGCAGATAAGGGCAGAACAGCACCATCTACAGGCCTGGCATATGTACTACAGCGTCTCCAGCACTTTCAAACGGCAATGGCCGTGGCTGTCTCCTCCTGATTGGTGGAGTTGGCCCAATAGCCGTAGCGCCACCGTCCTGACGTCAGGACAGTGTTCAAATCTGGATCAGTTTTTATCAGATCCGTTGCAGCCCCTTTTTTAGAGATTTGGGTATGGAGGAAAATAGAGAGGGTTGTGTTTTCTGACACTTGGTGAGTTCCCTGGAACACCGGGGACACATATTCATGTATAAAAGTACAAAAGTGCATTTTGCATGATAGGTCCCCTTTAAAGTAAGTCACACATCTCCTCTTTACTCTTCTCTGTGTGGAGCAGCAAGCTGTCAGAACAAAGTGAAAAACAAACAATGGCATAAAATATTATTAATATGTCGGGTAGCAATAGATTTATTTATTTTCTTCTCAGAGTGTACCAGAATGCGTAGTTTATATGTTAGTATTTCTAAAAATCTCCTGGGGGAGAATCCCCCCAGACCCCCCTTCTGGGGTTGGGTTTTCAGCATGTATTATAAAGTTCAGCTTTGATTCCATCATCTTATTAAACCTTATTTAAAAGCATACTTTAGTTCTGTGAAGGGATATAAGGGATATATGCACTGTACTTCACTTTAATTAATATTGTATGCTGAAAAGCGTATATATTACAGCACGATTTGTTGTTGAATAGATTTGAGTGGTTCAAAAATTTGGGGCGCGATTTATTGACAAAGGAAAAAGTGGGTCCCGAGGCCTGACCAGTTGAGAAACCACTGATCTAAACAATTCACTTTCAAATGTAATAGCTGTTTTTATTTGCTGCTTTTGTGTGGATCCGATACTCTTAAACAACATTGATCCGGCAGGTGTTTTTGTTCATACTGTGAATGTATGGCTGTAGCTTTTGAAGGTATCTCATGTGAATATGTGCCATTGATTATTCAAATGTGAAGCCCATTAAGCATGTTCAGAAAGCAGTGTAAACATTGATGTCTTCATGAAAGTACATTTATAATGTTATGACACAATACCAGGAACTTTGTTTGAGTGTGAAACAATAAATTAAATGAATACGTGTTTGCATGCTTGCTAAAGACGAACATCCTGGTATATTTCATGTATTCTGTAGATGAGAACCCAACTAAATGAGACTGTGCTACAGCTGTGACATATAGTACAATCAGGACCCACTGCAGAATGAGCACTTGGCTGTACTGAATACTGAATATTTCTCGCACCACTGCAAGGCCTCTGCAGTTATTTAGCAGCTGTGTGAAGAGTAAAGGGCCAGCATGCATGTAGTTGAAACGTTCGCCCAGCAGAGGGCGACCATTCTTCACATCGGCTTCACTTTCACTAACCAGAAGGCTTTGGGGTCTGGAGACATGCAACAGAGAAAATAATTTACATCTTGTTGAAATTAGATCAATTGATAAGCAAAATGAATGCTTGCAAAATGTAATCATCTGAATATTATTAGCCAATATCAGTGAGCACAGTTTGTATTCATGCTTACCTAGTTTTGAGATCTCATACATTTCCTGAGGAATGTTTTCTGTATCCTTTGGTTGCTTTTGCATTTCTTCATTTTTCTCTTATTTGATACAAAATTAAATACATATTAATTAGGCAGCAGAAGCTCAGTCTGTAGGGACTTCGCTAGGAACTGGAGGGTTGCCGGTTCAAGTCTCAAAAAGACCAAAGTAAGTAGTTTGGACTGGCACTTAAAGCGGTCCCAGTTCACCTGTGGTGCCCTTGAGCAAGGCACCAAACCCCCACACTGCTACCCTGGTGCCAGTGTTTCCGCCAGACCAGACCAGTGAGCCGGATCATTTGGCTCGGCTCACTAAGAAGAGCCGGCCGGCTCTTTCGGCTCCTAAACGGCTCTTCATGTTACCACAGTTTACCACGGAGCCTCAGTTTCGCCGCTGCGAGGCTCCGGCGCTCGCAGTTCACGCGCGTGCTCCACTAGCACCCCCCGTCAAGGCTCGCCGACAGCACTTTCCGTCACAGGAACACGCTTTGCTGGCTGTGAAAATAATCCCACCAGACTCCTTTGCCCCTCCAACAGAGGGATGTCCTTGTCCCTTTTCGTCATTTTAAGCGATAAAAACTCGATCTTCTCTCGAATTATTATTTTTTTTGGACGCCCTCGGCTCGAGTTCAGGGCGTTCCGAGCTGAATAAGGGCGTCAAATGATGGCAAGACGCCCCCCTGGCGGAAACGCTGCCTGGCGCTGTATGATAGCTGTTATACTAGGCTGCTAATGCTAATAGTACTCGGATGGGTGAAATGGTTCTGTAGATGCAGAGGTTAGTTTTCAGTGTGTGCAGTGTAGTATACATGTTAGTGTGACAAATATAGAGGGTTTCATCTTATTAATACTTGAACACAACTTTATTTAGAAGCCAGTTTACAGCAGGAGTTTGTTCTTGTTGCACAATAATTACAAAACAAAATATTAAAAGGGAAAGGAAAGAATCAAATTGACCACAAAAAGCAACAAGAACACAACACTGGTAAAGAGTGAAGACTAGTAACGGAGGGAACATCCTAAAAGAAGTCCATATCATCCGGGGCGTCCAGGTCGCGGTACTCAACGATGTTTCGTGGATCACCGCGAGACATCCTGACGAGGGTGAGCCCAGGAAAGGAGAAGAAGAAGAAGAATGGAAATGAGAATACAACAAGAGGTTCAAAATACTTCCAACAGCAGGAGAAAAAACAAAAATAAAGATCAGACGTACAGAAGTCTCACCTGAGGTTGCGTGGCTTGCCCAGGTAGCCACCTTGTCCTCGGAAGTTGTCGTAGTTTCCTCTTCCACCTCCGAACTGGTTGGGGGGGTAGGGAGGGGCACCTGGTGAAAATAAACATTGATGGATAAAGTGTTGAGATCCTTTACTTAAGTTAAAAATAATACTACACTGTAAAAATACTCCATTACAAGTCAAAGTATTGCATTAACAGAAAGAAAATACTCAAGTAAAGTACCTCCAATGTGTACTTAAGTGCAGTGCTTTGTTGTGTAAAATTATCATATAATCATTTAAAACATATAGTCTTATACTCGGATTTACTTTTACACTGTTAAATTGTATTTTTAGTCTTGTATGTGTTTAACAGAGACATATGTTAAGGATTTACATTTCAGGAGGGCAAAGGAAGTGTAAGAGGGGGATTTGCAAATGATTAAGGACGAGGGGGTTTTATGGATTAATGGTGGGGATGTTTAGATGATGCCTAAGGGATTTAAGGGTGGGACCAGTTGGCTATTCATGTACTATAGAGTGCCACAGTGACGCGTCCTAAAACCCGTAAGTAAACTCCCTCCGGTTCCCTCGACAAAAAAGCAATGCAATAGCTGGAAATAAGGTCTGTGGTTGACACGCATTTAAGAGACGGATCACGTTTTGTTCAGCCGGATAATCTCCACATGTCCACCCTACTTTTATCATTTTCAAATCGTAAATCTAGTCACCAGAAGCAAAATGCTAACGTTATGCTATAAACGAACTACGGCAGGGTCGCTGCTTCAACGTCACGCCAACTTAAGATCCATATTCAAACATACAGATTCTAAATGGTACGAGTTGAAGCGTTTCTTTGAACAGTTTGCAGGAGGCAGGTACTTGCTTTCAAGCAGAACACGGGGCAAACAAACTTAGCGGGAGTGTTTACGTGTTCGGTGTAATGACGTACAACGGCCTCGACAATTTCTGTAGTCCTATTCAGCCACTTGTTAACAACCATCGTTTTTCAGACACGTTAACTCTTCAGAAATCACCAGTGGGGTCACTGCTGATGTATTTAATGTCGTAGAACAAAACGTGATCCATCTCTTGAACGTGTGTCAACCAAACACAGACCTTATTTTCAGCTATTTTCCTAAATCCTACGGAGAAATTGCATTGCTTTTTGTCGAAGGAACCGGAAGTGGTAAAATGCTAACTTGCTTCCGGGTTTTAGGACGCGTCACTCTATATAGTGTGACTTTAAGCTGTGTTCTGGGTGCAAAGCCATTTTTTCCTTTGAGGATGAAGTCGCTCTGTTCCTGCATTTGAGATCGATATCACTTGTATATTGACTTTCTGTATTACTTTATTAAATATAACAAAAGACAAACTTTGTCCATGAATCATTTATCAGTTTCTCTTAAGAATTTCCTCCACATACTTGAGTACATTAACTTAATAACTTTCTACTGAGAATAAGGTTTAAAAAGTCATCTAAAAGAGCAGTGGTTTTATTGACAGACATATGCCCACTATACTGAAAAAGCACATACCACCATAGCCCATCAGTGGAGGACGAGGCTGACCGAAGCCCATCGGACCCTGAGGACCTTGAGGAGGGAAAGGCATGCTGGGAGAAAGCAAACCTGTAGGACAACAAGAGGAAAAAAGGTTCAAATAGTTGTGGACAAAATACGATATCCTTGATCAAGAGTATCTGATTTGTTGCTTAGATTGAAATGGCTGTGCTTACCTGGGCCTGGAAGAGGCGGAAGCTTCATCTCTGGCAGCGACGGTCTCTTAGCATCCATCAGGAAGTTGTTGAAGAACACCACTTCCTTTTTCACTTCTTCAATTTTGTCCCCATGTTTGTTCAGGATGTGCTTTCGTACAAACTCGGGGCCCTGGAAAGGAATTTTGCAAAAGGTCTTAGTGTCACGTGCAATGAAAATGCAGCATAAAAACATGCCAAACCTTTGATTGTTTGAAGATTAACTCAAAACAATAGGGATGTAACGATATATCGCGATAAATCTGTTAAATTGTTTTTGAAGTGGTGGAGAGACAATGCACAGTTTTACCCACTGCTGTCACCCATGGCCAAAGCATATCTCTCTGTTCCAGCAACATCAGTACCAAGCAAGAGTTTTTTCCACAGCAGGGGATATTGTAAACGCCCAAACATCCCAGCTTCTACCTGGAAATGTGGACATGCTCATATTCCTAAAAGATAACCTGTCTGATGATGCTGAGTGAGTGAGTTAGTGAGTTTGAGTTGAGCTACTTGAAAAACTAAAGTGAAACTTGATTTATTTTATTGCAGGGTCTGATTATTATATTTTTGACACTTTAAAATACTACTATCCTACTAAAATGCTGTACAAATCAGATTTATTATTTAATAAAGAAAACATTTTCAAGTAAAAAAATAAATAATTTCCAAATAATTTGTTAAACATGTTTTTTTAAATATCGTACTGTGGACTTGTTATCGCGATATTATCGTACCGTGAGTTTTTGGTATCGTTACATCCCTACAAAACAACGTCAAATGCTGTCCTGATTTTTTTCTCACCTTAAATTTCTTTCCACTGAGTGGGCAGAGCCACTTGTCCTTCCCCAGCTCCTGAGTGTTGGCGTTCACAAACTTCTCCACCTCCTCCTCAGGATCCTTGCGTCCCATCTTCCCGGCCTCATCCTCAGACAGGACTTCTTTTGAACCGACCAAAGGACTCAGCTTCTCCTCCATCATCTTCTGCCACTGTTGAACTGTGGGATGTTTAAGTAGTTAGTAAACTGCGGGAAAGATAATGTGAAAACAAAACGGTCTTCCAAACATAGCTAATGTTAAGCTTGTGAAATAATTAGTGTTTCAAAGCCAACAGAATCACAAATGTGTGCAAAGAGTGTAAATGTAACACACTGACCTTCTCCTTGTGTGACGCGGTTGGGAGGGATGGGTCCTCGAACATGGATCATGCCACAGCGGTTGGGCATTTCGTCCTCACTGGGGTACTCACAGGTGTTGTAGTAGTCGATTGAGTGCACAATACGCAGATATAAGACCAGACGATCCAACACCTGGAACAAGGGAGATGTCAAAGTTACAGCTCAAAGACTGAATGCTAAGTTAGACAGTTTTAGTCAGCCTTCTGAACGATGGACATCATGGCTACAAGTAACAAAATCATCTGCTTGAGTGGTGAAGGAATAAGTCTTAAAACCTGGAAATGAGTTAGCATTTTACAACTTCCGAATCCCTCTTCTTGAAGTCACCATTTTTTTGGTTTGTGTTTAGAAACCTGAATTAAGGTCTGTGATGAACACAAGCTGAAAAAGATTGTCTCATTTAGTTTTACAAACATAATACACATCAGTATAAACCCCACTGGTCAATAACCAAAGTTGTAATGGGTCATAAAAACTGCGATTGCTTACAAGCGAGTAAATAAACCTCTTAAAAGTCTTTATGCCGAACATTAGCCGCCTTAAGCTTAGCGGTGCTGATCCGCAGCCGTGATGTAGTTTGTTTGTAGCATTACGTTTGACTTTTGCAGTATGCATTTCAAGATTCAAGGCTTTTATGGTGATTGGAATACATGTAAATTAATAACTGTGAGAGTCAAACCTTGGCTAGTTTGTCGTCCCTCTCCACGGTGGTCTCTGCAGGGTTTCCCTCCTTGCTACTCTCCTCTGACTCCATCCCACTGCCGGAGCCCAGCAGCTCCTCCTCCTCCGCGCTCACCTCCTCGATCAGGTAGTCTGTGATGTTCTTCAGGATGGGGTTCTGGGCCGCCAACTATCAGAACCACAAACCAAACATAAGTTAATAATTCAGTTACGGAGAGATCGTGAAATCTGTTTATATAAATCATGTGTTTCAAGCCACACTAGTAAGTATCAATTTAGTTTCAAAAGGAGGCATACCTATTTCTGTAGCAAAGAGTTCTCTAGTCAAAGTCAAAGTCAACTTTATGGTCAATCTTCCAGTTTCAATATTTTGAGAATGTACATTAGTGCAAGACTGCCCATAGAATGTGCATTAGTGCCTCTACATAAGGTATTAGCGGAGAAAAGGGTCATGGAACCTGGGATTATTTAAAGACCAAGGAGACAGAAAATACAATACAATATTGTGTCAGGTCAGAGTTCAACTACGCATATAGTTTTGAGCCGCATATAAGCTCTGAGATTCCCTTCGGCTCAAGTAGGGATGGGTACCGAGCCCCGGTATTAAACGGGCCCCGGGGCTGAATTATTAAAGACCGTGGTACCGTTAAGCTCCGACATAATCGGTCTTTTTATCGGTACTGGAGACATGTAAAAAATATCTCATATGTATTATTGCTCCACAAACATTATATTGCAGTTTTAGTGTCGCCAGCTCCGTTTCTAATACGCAAAAAGACTGCAAAATGCGTCCATGATTATTTTTTGTATTTTCGATCTTTCCAATCCAGAAGAGAGATGTCTCTCCCCAGTCTGTGTGCGAGGGGGCGGGGCAGTTCACACACACGCAGCTGCTACATGCATGCAACACACACACACGGAGGAGATGGCGGAGAGAACGCGCTCCGAGGTGTGGTTAAACTTTACCCGTCTCGCTCGTTACCTAAAGTGCAATAAGAGTTTAGCATGTCAGGGTGGTAACACGAGCAATTTGTCTAAACATTTAGCAAAAGTGCTCCACATTCAGATGGAGAAATGCACCGGGTTCGACTGTCTTTCTAGTAGCTCTGTAGCCCCATCCACGAGTAACGTTTCCACGTCAGGTGTTATGTATGCTAGCAGCAACACACGGAGTTAACTCATTATTCAAACATGGGTTAATGATTAGAGGGAACTGAGTTATTTAGTTTGTTAAAGTTGCAGCTATTCTGTTTACAGTTCTGTCATCACATTATTTAATACGGTTTGTTAAAACATTGTTTCTTTTGATGTGAAATATTATTTATTTAAATTTAAATAAAAAGCAATGTTAGTTTTGTTCACAATTTGTTTAGTTAGTTTACCTTCTTTTTTTCTCCAAAAGTACCGTTAAAAGACCGGATCGATAAGCGGTACCGATAAAAGTAGTAGTACCGTTAAAACCTTAACGATACCCATCCCTACTTATAATGCTGCAGCAATATCATATGTGACTTCAGCCATCTCTGTGTTCTATTGATTCCTCTTTGTTTTATTCTTTAATGTTGCGAGTGTTATATCGGATCCACGACAAGATCATTTGGGAACGATGTGTTTTAATTGTAACGTAGGATGAGTGCTGCACCTCTGCGCTCTCTCTGTGCCTCTCCTCCTGAGACTTGATGCTCCACAGGTCTCCCTTCTCGTCCAGGGAGTGAATGAGCTTGGCGGCGAGCTTGATGTCGTTGCGCAGCACCTGTTTGTGCTGAGTGATGCCGTTCACATTACGCACCCGACGGGCCAGGTCCCTGTTCACCCCCGGGGCGAGTTCACAGTCTCGCACCTGTGAAGGGAAGAGAGTGAAGCAGAGTTTAAACAACCTCCTGTTATTGAGGAGATACCACACTACAGAAAAGGTAAGACCTAAGAAAAAACTATAATAGCGACTCTCAAAGAATATGCAGGAATCCTGAAGTCAAATGTAATTCCTTTCAAGACCTTTTTTAAGACCCTTTGCATACATTTTAAGACCTCATCGCCACTTCGAGTTCTAACCGGTTACATTGGCGACACACTTTACCTCACATTGACTATATACAGTATTGATTGTCCTTCCTCCTTATCTTCCAACCATTTGGACGCAAACTTGCATTTCCCCATAACGATGTGGTTTAACAACCGGCGTAAACGGACCTTCGTGCGCTATCAAGCAGTGAGCGTGATGTCCTGTTCAGAAGACGTCAAATCCAACGGGATGCCATAAATAAACTACACAGAATCACACTACACACCTACGCAATGATTACATTCAGGCAGACTGTGGAATACAACCTCTTTGGACAATTTATATACTTATTGAAAACAAGCTACAAAATGTAATACCTTGGAAAATGCCGTTTAATACTTTTTAATGGCATTAATTTTCGCTAAATTGATCAACTTTTAATACTTTTTAAGACCCCGCGGACACCCTGAAGATACGTTTAAATGAGGATTTCTTAATATAAAAGCTACAGTTACCGCACAAAAACCACCACTCAGGGACAGTTTTATCCAAGAGGCCATAAGACTGCTAAACACCTGAACTCTGTTAAGTGCCCCGATAAACATTCCTGTTGTCATCTTGCAATATACTAATTTATATAAATAGTTATCAACGCAATAAACGGTTTTTAATTTGGTCTTAATCTACATTATTTAATTTCATATTCTGTTCTTGTACATATCCCATATTCTATTGACATGTATATAGAGAGGCGAAGTCCCGCCCATCTACTTCCGACCCATGGGACCTTATTTCGTAAAAAGTATGTATTGAAGTCAATGGGGAGAGAAAACGTATCTTTCGATCCCGTTTGAATTGTGCCACGAATTACACATATGATGTTTGTCAATCTTAAAAAATTATTTCCATGTCAAAAAAGTCACAGTTTGTCGTAAAACTGTTGAAATATAAGACTATGAAAAATACGCAACTAGAAAGACTACAAATCCCAGAATCCCGGTCCCGCATGCTGGCTCTTAGGAACCGACTAACTCCCCTTGTGTGTGCAGCTCTCAACATGCCCAGACTTGGAGTGATTTTCACCTCTTTTAATACTTTCCGCCTCATTCTGAAAGAAAGAAGTGAAATGTGCCAACGTGACTGCCGTCTTGGTGTGTGGTGCGAGACGGGAGATGTAGGTCATTGAGCGGTTTCACACAAAAAAAAGTGTTACTTCACAGTTTTACGACACATTTTAATTTTTTTGACTTGCAAAATTATCTTTTAAATTGACAAACATCATATGTGTAATTCGTGGCTCAATTCAAACGGGATCGAAAGATAATCTTTCTCTCTCCTTTGACTTCAATACATACTTTTTCCGAAATAAGGTCCCATGGAGTTCCCCGGAAAGGGAGGGACTTCGCCTCTCTATAGACTTTTTGCACTACTTTTTATTTTATTATATATGTTGGATTGTTGGAGGAGCTCAGCTCAGAAGATTTTCATTGCCGTTTCTACATTGTAGCTTTGTGCATATGACAATAAAACCTTTGAATTTGAATACAGTCCTGATTCACTCACAAAAACCATAAAACAGGGACATATAGATAATAGATCATTCAACACAAAAACCCTCTATGGAGAGCTCTGTAACACATACTATGCTGCATATTGTATATAAGTAACGTGGCACACTTACTCGAATATTCTGCAGGTTCCAGCAAACCTCTTTGATGTTGACGCTACGGTCAAAAGTCACCCAGCAACGTCTGAAAAACCTGCAATGGCACAGAGTTCATTTAGATAATTGTATGTAATAACCTGAAGTCTGTTGCTTCAGACAATGTGTGATAATCAAGTCATTTAAAGTAAGAAATAATAAAGAAAGTAGAATGTGTAAATATGTGCATTTACATTTAATTTATTCTACCTAATAGATCATTGTTGGGGAATAATTTGCCCTGCATGTCCTCCTTCACCCTCTGACGCAGCTGACCAACCTTGAGCAGCCGTTATCTCCCATAAGGAGGGGCTGCCCTAGCATATTGGTGTTGTTACCAGTTTATGAGCGGGCAACTCTCGGTCAGAGATAGTTATTGTTGTGGGACACCTGGAACACATCCTTCTCGGGGTGTAGATGACCCCGAGCCATAAGCGACAACAAATGTGATTCAGTGTCCTCAGCTGTTTAGTCTATCTATTGAAGAATGTTGATTATTACACTCTGAACTAGTTAAAACCTGGAGCTACAGGAGGGTTCTTCAGAATTGATTGTGGCATCTCAACCGTGTGGTCAGATTGTGGCCTGTGACATGTCTTGTGAATTCTCCGGGCGAAGCTCCAAATAAACCGTCAGTGTTTGCCATCAAAGCTCCAGCTCTCCTCGTGTCTCTCCGAGTCCTGACTCCAATTGCTTCAGAAGTTTCCCCCACAATAATCATGCTGCTACTACTGCTGCGTTTATCCCTGCTTTTATGTAGTTGTCCCTATTATTTTTTACTGCATTGAGAGAAGCCTACGAACTTTTGTTATACCCAAGGATGATGACAATAAACAATATTTTCTTGTGACCAACCTGCGCTCTGGATGAGGGTCAGACAAGCAAACGCGCAGAAAGCCAGGGTAACGCCGGCAAAGCTAAGAGAAGAACAGGAAAGAATATTGAGTTTAAACAAAAAGGTACAAAATAAGTTAGTGATTCCACATCCACCGGGTCACTAACTCACAGCGATGATCTCAGCCTTGGAGATGGTGGGAGCGATGCTCCTCATGAACAGAGAGCAGGTTCTGTGGAGCGGCCGCGGCCTCGGAGAGTCGTCTTTGGGTTTCTTTTCCTCCTTGTTGTCCTCGTCAGCGTTCTCTTTTTTCTCCTTCTTCTCCTTCTTCTCCGGTTTCTCCTCTTCATCATTAGCAGGGAGAGAGAACATAAGTGTGAACAAATACTGAGAACAAAGACGGTGTATACATGAGCAACCCATCGAGAACACTCCTACGTCGTATCCTACTAATACTTTCAACATGACTTCTGTTCACTTTGATGATTGACTTTAAGCTCATTAACATCATAAATTAGCTGTGATTAATTGTTTCCCAGGTCCCATCGTTACCGATTGATATCTTCTCTGTGAAACCTGAGGACACAGATTTCTTCCCATACTGTCCGTTTTTATAGTTTGATTTGCAATATACAACACGACAGCTTTTAGACATGTCATTTAACATGGTGACGCAGCGCTGCTCTTATCTATAGGCACTTTCACACCCGAGTACTTTTCCCAGGAATAGTTCCGATAGTTCTTGGGATTTTGCGTTCACACCAAAAAGATCTGGAACTAGAACTTAGTTTGCGCGAACCTTTTCACCCCCAGATAGTCCCTGCTAGAGAGTAGGTACTTTCCTGGGGAGGAAATGGTTTGTGGGTGTGTCGGCCACACTAACCATTTCTGATTGGCTGGGCGAATTGCAAACCACGCCCCGTAAAACTTCGAAAAGTTTTGTGAAGCCGCCATTTTATTTGCTCGCATTAGCATTATTAGCATTAGCATTAGCCCAGCACACCAACGGAGAGAGAATAACTTATGGCAACACAAAAGAAAACGTGGGAGCGGTGGAGCTCCTGCCCCCCCCCTCCCTGTGAGCCCAGTGTGCTCTGATTGGTCAAGCGACATGCAGCTGCTCGTGAAGCTGTGAGCCTCAAGAGCAGTGAGGAGCTGCTGTGAGGAGTAGACAGGGCTTCCGTGTCGGCGAAACAAATACAGCGAGAAATACAGCGAGAACAAGCGAAACTCATCCTGAGCACACACAAACACTCACAGCCGAAGTAAAAACAATAAGTGTGGCTTGATATTGAGTGAGAAAAAGGTTTAGAACACTGTGAGCATGGGTCTGCGGAGAGCATTTCTCCGCGATCCCAACGTAGTAGTCCGGAAAACGTTTACCCATTTAAACAGTCGTGGTAGATACATTGTTTGTTTTAAACATCATAAATACACAAACAACAATGACTAGGTTGTGTACCCGAATCTCCCGCTGGTCCAAACAAAGTAGGGGTAGTGTTTGTGTGTGTGTGTGTTGCATGCAGCAGCCGCATGTGTGCAAACTACCCCGCCCCCTCGCACACACCCTCGTTTGGGAAGCTTTGTTTCTTGAAAGGCTGGCAGAGGGTGCGGCCATAGCTCTGGCCGTGGCTACTGGGTATCCCGACGTAGCGATACCCAGGAAGCAAATGAGAAATCTCCAACGAGGCGTTTTGGGGAGGTATTTTCTGTGTTAGAGTTTTACTCCCTACAGGGTGTACTTTGAGGGTTTTGACTCTGCAGACCGTTTACATGCATAAAAACCTTCATAACACACAAAGGGACAGGTAATAACCGGAAAAGCATGACATGGGACCTTTAACTCAATTATACAAACATGGGTTAATGATTAGAGGTAACCGAGTTATTTATTTTGTTAAAGTTTCAGCTATTCTGTTTACAGTTCTGTCATCAGATTATTTAATACGATTTGTTAAAACATTGTTATTTCTTTTGATGTGAAATATTATTTATTTAAATTTAAATAAAAAGCAATGTTAGTTTTGTTCACAATTTGTTTAGTTAGTTAGTTTTCTCCAAAAGAACCGATAAGAGTACCGTTAAAAGACCGGATCGATAAGCGGTATCGATAAAAGTAGTAGTACCGTTAAAACCTTAACGATACCCATCCCTACTCTTAACAAAGATACTGACGAGAGCCTGAGAAAACAGGCGAAGCTAATCCTTATACAATAAGGCATCCAAGGCCATATAACATTATGGCAAGGACAGAAGTGGAGAATTAGACTAGTTAAATCATTCTCTATCACTCACCTTCACCCTCCTCTTCCTCTTCCTCCTCCTCATCCTTGTCCTCCGCCTCCTCCTCCTTCTTCTTCACAGGTTTATCAGAGCAGTTGGAGTTAGAGTCTGAGTCTGATTCAGAGTCGCTGTCAGAGGCGGTGCCTTCGTCGTCGCTGTCTCCGCTGCGCTTCCTCTTTCTTCTTGGCTGATGAATGAAAATGACAGCAGTCAGTTTCATTTGGTTCATTTCTGTCTCTTGTTATTAAATTCAGTTGAGGAAGCAACACTCACTTTCTTGGGTTCAGGTGTTTCCTCTTTGGCTGCTTCTTTCTCTGCCTCCTCTTTCACTTCCACCCCTTCGGCTGCAGCTGCTCGCTCTGTGCTGGCGCAGTCGTTCTCCTCCTGTAGTGCACAAAGTTTACCGTCATCAACACAGCACCACTTAACCTCTAGGGATGGATACCAAAACCCAAGACTCTGGGCTGCAATATTAAAGATTGTGGTATCAATAAGCTCAAAAGTTATCGGTCTGGCTACTGGAGAAAATATATTTCAATTTTATTATAGCTGCACAAACGTTATCTTGCCCCTTTTTCTCTCTCTTAAAGGTAGGGTAGGTAAGAATGGAGAAACCAGCTCGAGTAAGCTAGAATTTGAAAGTACACAACCGAAAAAGATCTGCCCCTTCCTTCAGAGTTCCTTACAGAGCCCCTCCTCCAACACACACGAACATGACCAATGAGGGCACGAGATAAGTTTGTGCATGAGATGGAAGGCTGACAGGCAGGTAGGCCATCCAAACATCTGACAAAAGTGCCCAACTTTCAGACGGAGCAATGCACAGTTTTTAGAGTGCCTATCTAGTAGCTCTGTTGTTACCCCATCTACAAGTTTACTGTTCTTAAATTTGTTTAGTTTTTCCCCTTAAACAAAATAACCACTAAGACAGGGTATATGCAGGAATCCTGAAGTCAAATGTAACACCTTTCAAGACCCTTTCCATACATTTTAAGACCTCATTGCCACTTGGAGTTGTAACCGGTTACCTTGGCGACACACTTTACCTCACATTGACTATATACAGTATGGATTGTCCTTCCTCCTTATCTTCCAACCATTTGGACACAAACTTGCATTTCCCCATAACGATGTTGTTTAACAACCGGCGTAAACGGACCTTCGCACGCCATCAAAGCAGTGAGCGTGCGATGTCCTGTTCAGATGACGTCAAATCCAACGGGATGCCATAAATAAACTACACAGAATCACACTACACACCTACGCAATGATTACATTCAGGCACACTGTAGAATACAACCTCTTTGGACAATTTATATACTTATTGAAAACAAGCTACAAAATGTAATACCTTGGAAAATGCCGTTTAATACTTTTTAAGACCCCGCGGACACCCTGTAAGATTACCAGATATAGGTACCAGAATGATAAGCGCTATCACGTAGAGAAGCAGTACTGTTAACATCTTAGAAATACCCATCCCTAGGAAACTCTACTGTGTGAAGACTGTCAAAGAATACAAATTACCTTCTCATTTTTGTCTTTCTCCACGGAGAGTTTACGGTCACCGTCCGATGTTTTGAGGTCTTCTTTCTTGGGAGGTTCGCCTCCACCTGAGACAGAGGCAGACTTCTCCCTCTCCCTCTCCTTCTCCTTCTCCCTCTCCCTCTCCCTCTCCCTCTCCTTCTCCTTCTCCCTCTCCCTATCCCTATCCCTCTCCTTCTCCCTCTCCCTCTCCTCCTCCTCTTCAGCCGGCAGGTCCAGGATACGCAGGTCATGATCCGTGCCTCCCTCCATCTTTATCACAGCTGGGGGCAAGAAAGAGGGTTTGGAGGGTTACTTAAAACATTTATTCCGCATCAATCACTAGTTACCTGTAAAAGATTAAATGAGTAACATAATCACACAATATAAAAAGTTAATGTAACCGGATTACTTTTGGATGACCTAAATATCAAATGCAATGCAAAAAAATACAAGAAAAACTGATATATTAATAAGATGTTTTTGCTCAAGTGTATTCTGTAAGACAACAGAACATAGTCACCTTAGAAAATAAGATATTTAGCAACAAAAATGTGTCCTCTTCTCAGAGATTTTATTGATAGGAACACCTGCCTTTCGTTAATCATATTCAGGCATTAGCCTACACGCCAGGGGTCGGCAAGTAAGTTTGGTGTTGGGCCAAATTTTTTCTGAGCCACTAGATGGCGGGCCAGTTATGGCGCACTTCCACTACAGCGCGGAGCTCGCTTTAATCGTGCCGTGTCGTGCCGTGCCCGTTTTTGGTTGCGCTTCCACTAGGCCTAGTTCCGGCCCGGCCCGGGGCCACTTTTTCACGTCTTTTCTGGCCCGAGAAAATTGTGGTTCTATCGAGGCCAACAAACAGGGCTGAGTCGGGCTGAGTATGCTAAACTAGAGAGAGGAGCGCTGGCAAGGAGGCTAGAACTACAACAAGATGGACATATTTGACCGTGATTTAATTGTAATACACGTTTCAAAATGATGCCGAAGTAACAACATACTGATACCGGTTAGTAAAAACCATGAATTAATGCTTTGTCAAGTCTGCAGACAGACGGCAGGCGAAAAACCTTTTAAAATGCGTGTTTTCTAAATGGAGATTGGCTAAGCTAACGCAGTATATGCTCCGACCGTCCACACTCACAACAACGGCCTATACAGACATAAATAAACCAGCGACTGTATTCACCATGACACAGGCAGTCTGTGGTTTGTACTTGTTTAACTTTTGTCTAGTTTCTGAACATATATAAGGAGCTGTGAGCTCTGAGTGCTCACAGCTAACGGCTGTGTTGTGTTTCTGGAGTTCTCATTGAAGATGACGTCACGGCTCCGCCTACACTGCGTTACTATAGTAACTACCCCAGTTCCTAAACTGTAATGGAAGCGCAGCATGAAGTGAGTCGGCCCTGTTAAGGCCAAGCCGTACCGAGCCGTACCGAGCCGTACCGAGCGTGGCCGAGGCCGACCGTGTAGTGGAAATGTGCCATTAGTGAATTGTCAACGGGGGTGGGTGGGTGCTGGTGAACTGTCAACAGGGGGGGGGACCTCGCTGCGGTGCCGGCCGTCAGCGAACCGAGCCGGCCCTTGACGACCGGCCGTTCTGTGATTCTCCAGATTCTGCTCCCAAACTTATTAAGATCCAAAGCTTTAGTGCGTTTGGAATCAATGCCGACAGTCTCTTCTCGGTCATGGTAGACAGAATGCTTCTCGTTTTGCGCCGTCCCGTTCAAATGACAATCACACATTTCCATGCTCGCGGCAGGGCCGGGGGAGGGGTTACAAGGCTCACGTCTTGTGCTGCATTCACTTGCACATTAGGGATTTTCTCTCATAAATGTCCGGGAAAAAAAACGTTTCTTTCAAAACAAAGCTATTTTTCCGGGCCAAATATTATTGCTGGCGGGCCAACAATGGCACGTGGGCCGCCTGTTGCCGACCCATGCTATACACCAACAATGAAACACATGAGCGCATACTACAGTTTAAAAAAGCAGAAATGAAATCTGAGCTGACAGGAAATGCTCCGTTTTAGTTCAGTACACACAGTTAAGTTCTCACACACTCTTTTATGAACATATAGGTTCACCTACTGAATTAAAAAAGAACAAATGAAGCAAAGAAAGTGAAAACCATAAAGCAGATTCAGGCAGTAGGCATATAGACTTAAAGTATTAGCCTACAGAACAGTACAGCTAACAGAGAAGATATAACATCTGATCCTTTTACAACACTATATGCTTTTTTTTCCAATTTTGTGTGACCTTGTAATCCTGCTAGTCATGTTAGAAATGTAACAGCAATCTGATCATGTCTTTTTATTATTGCAACTGTAAGGGAATACAGTTACTTTTTTTTGTATCATGTAATCGTTTTTTTCCCAAGCCTGCTTACAACTAATGGCAGAGGCTTTTTGTTGGTGCGACACAGTAACTACAGTCTTACCTGCATCCAGAACCTTGATGATGGTGGGGGTCTGTTCGATGTCCAGGGAGACGTTATCAAACCAGCTGTTCTCCATCAGGAACATGAAGACGTTCACTCGGTTGTGCAGCGAGCTCTGGGCCTCGGCCTTTAGTAGACTGGCTTCATCCGGATGATACTTGGACCTGAACCTGTGTCCAGAGTCGGGGTCCACAAAACAAGTTGGGAGGGAATGATGGGGATTGGGATGAACATGGAAAAAGTTAGAAAACAGATGCATAATATGGATCTTTTTTGCAACTTTAGTGCACATTTAAAAACAAAAATGTGAAATCCAGATGGTTTGTTGTAAATCTAAACAGACCATCATATTTAAGATTTCAGTTTTTTCTACAGCCTAACCCTGTCACTCAGAGTATACATGACTTTATGATTACAAAAGCTAAACATTATTTGAAAGCTTGAGATAAACTCACCAAAACTAAGGAAAAAACACAACAGAGACGTTACAAAATGAAGCATTGACATTCAGAATTTCACATTAAAAATGTTGATCATTGAGTGGACTACAGTTACCTTTTTTTCTGCCAGTTTATTTACAAATAAATACAGAGAGGGGGGGTCTCTTCTGTGAAAATGTGCTCCACTTCACCCCAATGGTGCGTCTGTATACACACAAATTCGGTTTTGGGTTTTGATCCGAATATAAAAAGCGTAGAAAAAGCATAAAGGAAAAAAAAAATCTTGGTGCACGAAAGAGACTATTTTCTGTCTATCTGAGATCCCTGGTACTGTGTCTAAGAGCGACTGCATTGTGCGCAGTGCGGACCCTTGCTGTCTAACAACCGATGCGTGCTGATGAGCTCCACTTTTTCTCATCTTCAAAAAACGTCGTCAACTTTGTAGTGGGAGGGGAAGAAAAAGTGGTTATGGCAAAACAGAACAATTGTGCATTATACCTGTGAAACAAGTGTAATAGGCATTAACAGACATTATACAACTGTACATCGTGCAAAAGGGAAATACTAAAACAAAAAGATCAACCCAAATAATGAATATGGACTAACGAAATACATTTAACTAATCTGTCTGTCAGCTCTGTGATTGTGTATAGTCAGCGTTTCCGCCAGGGGGGCGTCTTGCCGCCATTTGACGCTCTTATTCAGCTCGGAACGCCCTGAACTCGAGCCAAGGGCGTCCATTCTTGAGAGAAGATCGAGAGTTTTTATCGCTTGAAATGACGAAAAGGAAAAAGGACAAGGACATCCCTCTGTTGGAGGGGCAAAGGAGTCTGGTGGGATTATTTTTGCCGCCAGCAAAGTACGTTACTGTGACGAAAAAAAAATAAAAACACCGTTGCATCTTCCAAGGACCATGCCAGGAGGGGTGTCCCTGTCGGCAGGGAGACGTAAAGAGATAGCATAAGGGACGGCGCAATTCCAAATGGTGTGTGTGTGTGCATATGTAAAGAGATAGTAGCCTATCTATAAGGGACGGCTCAATTCAAAATTGGGTGGACGCCCTCTCAGCCCTGGTCTGGCGGAAACACTGTGTATAGTAATTTTGAAAAGGATTTATAGATAAACTGCACACCATATTGACTTTCCTATTGAATTTGAACACATGCTTTATCAATACCTAAGGATTAATCTGTCCAACTTCACATTTCTATTCAAAGTAAGTTAGAATATGTGCTATAAAAGGATTCATTTGGGTTGATTTTCTTCTTTAATAAACGTCAAGGGTGACAGAGTCAATAAAAATAACTATACAGAGCCTGGTCCTAGTACAAGGGTGAACTGTCCTTGGTTTTACTACATTCATTTTCATTATAAGTAAAGGCAACTGATTTCGTACCACTCTTCATCTTTATGAGCCAAAAAGAAGTCCTGCATCTGCTGCCGGCGGAAGTCGATCTTGTACTCGTTGTAACGTTTGACCGCCTCCGTCTCCTCCACAGAATCATCCAGAGACAACAAGAACTCCTTAAAGGTCTTCATTATGGGAGGGGGGGGACCCAGATCCATGTCATGGAGGTTACCCAGTCTGAAGGAAGAGAGTTGGAGGAGTTTTGAGAAAGCTGGAGGGTGGGATTATAACCTTTGAAGACCATTCACATGCACAAAAACATGTTTAACACTACAGGAAAGAAAAAATAAGGTATATTTAAGACATTTAAAATAACATTTATATACATATTTGTATTCAGGATTGTTGGAAACGGTATTTCGATCTCTCTGTCTGTACACAGAAACTGAAAGATTGACAATAAATTTGACTTTGACTTGAACATTTGACTTTCTCACCTCGCCTGGATAGGGATGCCGTGATGAGGCTGCATGAGGTGTAGGTCCGGGTGGCCCCAATGCTGCGGTGGGCCATAGCTTGGACCCCCTCCTCCTCCTCCGCCTCCTCCTCCTCCGCCGCCTCCTCCACCTCCGCCTCCACCCCCATAGCCCAGGTCGTACCCCCCACGGTAAGGATCTCCACCATGGTCATCCCTGCCATGGACAGATGAAAGAGCATAAGTGTGATGGAAACTTCTGAAGCAATTGAGACTCAGAGCTTCGACCGGAGAATTCACAAGACGTGTGCTGAACCACGAGGTGACACAGCGGTTGCCAAACCAATTCTGAAGATGTCTACCCCCAGACCCATGTATTTAGCTGGTTCTGAGAGAATAATCAACAAAGTGCATAACAAGATAACGCACCATAACACCTCTATCAGATGACGCCAACAGGCAGGAATAGGGAGACAAAACACTGAGAGCACAGCAGACCAAGGTTGTGCTCAGTGAGGGCAAACTGATAAACTGGGTCAAAGTTATGGGCCTAGGAAAATATTTCCCCAACAGTTTATAAGCACCAGCAGCTTCTAGTTGCAAAAGGTGTGTGTTTGTGACGGCAGATAATCTCACCAGTCTCTCCTCATGCGTTTCTGCTGAGGACTCATGTCGTGTCTGGGCGGCGTGAATCTCTCTCTCCGGCCTCGGTCATAATCCCGGTATTCTCCACGGCTTCGTCGTTCCCTGCCCCGGTCCCACTCTCTGGAATATTGATTTCGGGAGACATTATTATTAAAGAAACATTCAAATTAAACAAATGTTATCACCAATTAGATGCATGTTGTTGGCCTGCCAGAGACTTTATTTGCACATTGTTCACATGCACAGTATGTTTTGTGTTGATTTTTGTTTTGTTCTGTTATAACGCCTTGTGCGGAATGTTTTGGCAATACTATGTTTAAAATGTGGTCATGCCAATAAAGCCCCTTTGTATTGTATTATATTGACTTTAGCTTTTATACATCTTATTCTTACCGGTCGTTCCAGTCATCTCTGCGCCTGTCGTCTCTCTCTCTCGAACGGTCGTAGTCACTTCTTTCCCTTCTGAATTTGTCCCTTCTCCTGCGATCGTACTCATCATCACTGTCTCCCATCTCCAGGAAAATAGAAAAGGGCACATTTTAGGATAACAGTTAACCTCGATATGCGTTAAGTAGCAGAAAACAAAAGATAGTTAAATTACGACTTAAACTTTTCATGACTGTATTTTACTAGGAACCTGTTTTTAACCAAGGTTGGCAGTCTAAAAAACGAAAACATTACTCGGCCAGTGTTATGGGATTCAAATGTAATTTTTTTATTCACAATTATCATTTGTCTTGGATCTTATAATTCATACGTGTGTGAATAAATAAAAGACAGAAACCAAAAGCCTGGTGAATCACAGCCACTTTAAAATGGATTTCCCCATAAAAGGTCTGTCAACTCTGTCCACACTTCTGAAATCAAATTAATTCCAGATGTAAAATGTTCACAACAAATATTGAGGTCTAAGAGCAAATCAGAGCTATACTTATTTTTTACTTATTGTACTGTAAATTAACTAAGTGTATTAAGTGAAGTAGATATAAACTCTACGTGCAGCAAACCCGTTTCATGCCCTGTATTTGAACTATGCTAAATGTTATTATCCCCTATCAATTAATAAACTAACATGTGGGGGAAAGTATGGAAACTACGATGAGAACACAAGGATACTGAGACGGCCTTCAAGACAGGCAGCTCGCGTACACTTATGTAAAAGTATTTCAACAACAATGCTACTGATAACGTAGACCTTGGATATCCATATTATCAAAGAACTACAAATAAAAAGTTGTAACACGTGTGGGAATAAAGGCTCAAAGTGAAACAAAGAGGAGAGTTGTTGATGTAGCATGTTAGCTAACGTTAGCTAGCATGCTACATTAGCTAGTTAGAAAGTCATCGTTCTCCTCCATTATCCGCAGTACGTCTTTCATTTATCCGTTGTATTAACCAGAGAACTGTTGCTGTTTTGTTAGTTTAACCACTATTGAGACACTATTAGCTAGCACATTAATACCTTAGAAATGAGTTGAACGGATGATGGTCTGGTTCTTCTTCTGCTCCACCACTTCAGCTTACTTCTTCTTCAGTTGGCGGTGAAAGGAAAGCAATAAAATGGCGCATCACCGCCGCCAACTGGAGAGAAACATGCTTTTTCATTGATATCCTTTTCCTCTTTTGATTTCCCATCTTTAAAGTCCGGTCACGAGCTCGTTATCTAACCTTTAGACCTCAATTGCCCCGAGTTTATATCCTGTGTAAATACTATGTTTATTGAGTGTATTAAAGCCTCTTTGTATTGTATTGTACATTTAAACCCAATGAGGTTTCCATGGCAGCACCATTTCTTAAAATACAAACAGTGCAGATCTGCCGTTTGTTCCTCGTGACAAGCAGAGGTGGGAGAAGTACTCAGATCATGTTGAGTAAAAGTAGAAGTACCAGAGTGTAGGAATACTCTGTTACAAGTTAAAAACAAACTTGCATTCAAAATGTTACTCAAGTAAAGGTACAAAAGTATAAGCATCAAAATATACTTAAAGTACCAAAAGTAAAAATACTCAATGTGCAGATTGGTCCATTTCAGAATAATATATAGGCCTATGATGTTTTATAATGATTTATCATTAAAGTGTTATCCAAGCTGGTAAAGGTGCAGCTAGTTGTGATGACTTTGTATACTGCAGGGTAGCTTGTGAATTTACTCCAGGTGTAACTAAAGTCTGATTTAACACTTGATTATATTTCACATCATTAATCCAAATCTCTAAAGTAACTCAAGGTATTAAATGAATATAGTGGAGTAAAAGTACACAAGTTACCTCTGAATGGTAGTGGAGTAGAAGTACAACTTAGCATACAATGGAAATACTCAAGGAAAGTAGCCTACAAGTACCTCAACAATATTGTACAGTACATGTACTTAGTTACTTCCCACCTCTGCTCACAGGAAAATCGGTGCTCGTTTCTGCATTTCAAAAAGTAAAATATTGTTTTTCCTCTGACAAAAAGTGCTGGAGCATCCATGCAGCTCTACACAAGACATTTAAAAGAAAACATCTCTTGCTAATATATTATCATAGTAATACATTATAATTTGTAGTCTAACAGAATAACCAGGCCAGATCGAGATCATTAAAACGTACAATTCAAGCACTAACATTAATGAAACCTAACAGTAATGATTCATTTGCACAGTTGCAGTCTTTTTATTCAGTATTAAGAGCAGCGTTTAAGAGCAAAAGTGTGACATTGTGGAAAAAAGAAGCAATGAGGGTCTGTATTCAAATAATATTTTAATAGATTTAACTCTTATACAATCTTATTTACTTTCACAATCCAATGAACTTCTAAGTATATCCTTTCTCGGTGCATTTCTTTGTCCTTCCTCTGAACCTTAACGGGTGCCTCATGGGTGTATTCAGCTCTTCGTCCTCCATGACAAATGCAGACTCCACTTGTTGTGGGAAGGAACGGTCGTCTCTGGATCCAAACACAAAGTCTCCTCTGGGTCCACCATTGCCATTCAAAGGACTGGAGATAAGGTGGGGTTGGTAAGTGGTTTTCAAAAAACCCTATGAATATGTAAACAATATTTATTGTACAATATAATTGATATATATATATATACATATACAGCATATTCAAATAATTGTTCCAAAAAATGACAAATTAACGTTGACAAAAATGACAAATTAACGTTGACATACAAGGAAAATACATTTCAAAAGGTCACATTTCATATATCATGTGTATGTTACCTTTCTGTAGTCTTCTGGAGCCTCTCTGGAGTCAAGCAGCACAAATGAAGATGCAGTGAAGAACAGCAAGAAAGACACTGTGAGAAAAGACGAGCATGACGACAGTGATCCAGGCATCTTTTCTTACAGCTGCATGTGTCTGTACCCAGGAAAAAGTCCAATATCTTTAATGCTTTTCAACGCAGCACAATCTACGAATGCCTTGTGTATTTATTTCTGAGCTTGCATGGACCACACCATCTCATTTATAGTCCCATATGCCATAATCCAAGCCAATGGCTAACACAGCGCTGGAGGTTCATTTAGCTCACACTTTCTTTAAAGCAGCAGGTGACATGACTAAAAGCACATAAAATAATACAAAAATGAAAAGACTTGAAGATTATGGGAAGGATTAATGGTGACGCATTCATTATTAACTGTAGGAATTCTTAATGAATCGACCCAGAGGCAGGAAACTCATTTCAGGCCATGTCTGCTAATCTGCCTAGAAAAGACAAAAACATGTGCGCGCTATTAGAGCTCTTTTTTTCCCAATTGATTAACTTTCTGCCTTTTGAAGTGAAAAAACAGGAAACGGGGAATAAATGTGGTTATTTTATAATAGGTATGAAAAAATAGTTGCTCCACAAGACATACCATGAACCAAAATTAGATTTGTATTTTAGCTTTGTGTGCTTCACCCTGCTGACCCACGACTGCACACCCACCTACAGATCTAACCAATTCGTCAAGTTTTGCGGAATGAAACAACAGAAAGGAGGTGAATCAGCTAGCCACGTAGTGCTAGTCCCGTGAATAACATTCGTTTTCAGCACCATGGAGTTTTTAGATTTTCATTTTATATTTGTGGAAAACACAAAACCCTGGATTGAGGATGGCGAAACTGTGTCCAGTAAAGAAAAGTAAAGGAGGTATGGGCTCTGTTTAAAGACGGTTAAATGTAAAAGAAAAAGTAAACAGACTGGGACAGTTACAGAAAACCTCGATCTGTGCTGCCGTAATTTCAAGTAACATTGCTGTCGCCACAGATCCAGGTCTTTGTCGAGGTGGAACAAACAATTTTTCTTAGCTGAAGCAATACGTTCTTGTTTAAAGGTCACCTATTGTGCAAAATCCACTCTTTTGTGTCTTTTATACATAAACACGTCCCCTCTGTGTAGATTCTGAAAGTTTCAGAAAAATTATTCTCTCTCTTCTTGTCCTGATCCATTTATATAAAAACTGATCAGATTTTGGCCACTTTGTGATGTCATAATGTTTTTTGGGGTTGTGCAACCATTAGCCAATCACCAACCAAGGTAACCCCCCCCCCCCCCCCCTTATCACCTGAATCTCGTCATGGAGGACCATTGTGTTTTTTTCCAACCAATCATCTCGCAGAGGTGTGTGGCAGTTAATTAGCATTTAAAGCTCCAGACAGAGAATCAGCACTTTTGAAACAGGGCTGAAACAGAGGGGATTATGGGATGCTGCAATGATCTGTTTGGTATTTGGAGCCAAACACTTCAGAGACATGTTTTGTATATATCTGAGAACTATAATATATTGTTTAAAAACAAAGAGTATAATAGGGGACCTTTAAATCAATTACATATCAACAGATTTACGGTACGTCCACACAGCGGCGTGCGTTGAAGCTTGCCGGCGGCCGTGTCTGAAACTCGACCAACAACCAATCACATGAATCTCCCGCCCCTGACACACAAGCAGCGGTTTGATTGGCTAGAGCTTGTACTGGCATATGATTTGATTGGCTGACACTTCCGCCGAAGCTTCAAAAGTTGAACATTGCTCAACTTTTGCAGCGAGCAACGCCAGCAAAGCTCCGCTTCGCTCCCACAATGCAGTTCGGCGAATCGTGACGTCACCCCATTCAAAGTAAATGGGAAGAAGCGTTGAAGATTCATCGCACGCCGCTGTGTGGACGGGCCGTTATGCAATTTGTGTAGCCGTGTAAAAAGCGGGATACTGTGCAGCGAGGCTGTCTTTAATGAAAAATGAACGCCAACAGGGTGATCAGGATCCCTTAGACCCCTTTCACACCAACGCGGTTCCAGGGCCGGTTCGGAGCTAGAGCCTGATAAGCACCGGTTTTTCCTGTTCACACCGCAGCGGAGCCGGCTCTTTTCCCCGAAAACCGGTTCTTACCAAGCTCCAAAAAATTGTCGGTCTAGAAGCAAGAACCGCATACGTCACACTTACGTCGGAGGAGGAGGGGGCGGGATCAACCTGAGCAATAACAGTTTAGGCGAGTACGGCAAATAAAAGTTGCAACAAGCAGTAGCGCTGAGCAAAGTGACTACAACGCAACCACACACTTATAAAAAAACATCCTTTATAAAGTCAGGCAACACTAGTGAGCCGTTATTGTCCTATAGGCTACATTGATTAAAGTAAAAGAACCTGAAAGAGTACCCTCAGCAGGGGGTCCCGCTCTGGGCTCATTAGTGACATGCTAATCAGTTGAAATACATTGCCAGAACATTTCTTTGTGAGCCATGCTTTAACAAAAATGTCCTTCTCTTTTCATTTTTAAGAAAAATATACCACCTGTAACTCTTTGACGTATGAACAGTGGGGGTATGAAGGTGAAGATATAGATATAGCAGTCTGCATTATTATTAAACTTTATTAATTTTGGGATTAATATCTATTTATAAATATTTAAAAAATGCTAATAGTTGGTAACTTATAATGGCTTCTTTCTTTTGTTACGTTAACAAAAGAGGCAACACAGTCCCGTTTCAATACCATTTAATCTTCCACAAACCACACATTAAATGCAGATTTCCACAGACTGCGTTTAGACATCCTACATATTTTCAAACTTGGCAGCTTTATACATGAAAATGATAATTGACACTGTACATCTATTTTTGTTTGTGTGATGAACTAGGAACACAAAAGTTTCAGTTAACAGTCTCTTATATGAAGACATTAAAAGCAACACAACAAAAAAAACAGTACATATTCATTTGATACTGGAAATAGGAGAAAAGCTGTTCTATTTTACAATACAGACTATTGCGAAAAAGTCCCAATCAAAGTGTCTTTTAATCATCAGTAGAATATAAAGGAGGAATGTTATGATTTCTGATTCCCGTTTAATAAACAAAACACATCCTTTGACACAGAGCGCTTCAGAATCATTAACAGCGTGTTATAAAATAGTTGTGGTGTTTTAGGGGGTTTTGTTCTGCCCCCCGTCTGACGTGGTAGTTGAGATTACATAGCAGGACTTTTCTTCTTCTTCTTTTAGCATTATAACCATGTGGAAGAGAACATTTATACCAAAGATGACAGTCACCTTAAATTACATTTCAGATTTCAAGGGA